GGCTGCCGCCGCTCCGGGTCCCTCCCCAGACCTCAACGGTCCACGAGTTGCAGTTTTCTCGCTCTTGGTTGACGTTTGAATATCGTGGATTTTCAGAGGGAAACAAATCGAGAGAAGACAAACTGGAGATGCCGAGGATCAGGAACGCAGACCTTGCGGCTGCCTGCGACACGCTAACAACAACTCGGGCTTTTTCAAACCCTTCCAAGGGTATCAGATTAAAAAATGAAACCTACATAATTGCACTGCAGCCAAGTACGCATGCTACAAATGAAGCAACGTCTTTGCCTTGACACTGAAGAAGGGAAGTCTGTATTGTTTGGTAAGCCTTTGGGGACTCCCCAAACACATTTCAACTTCTGGAACTGAATAAAAATGCAACTACATGTACAAGGAAACAAAAATCCCCAAGCCGAACAAAATCCAATACTATACGAACTGAGGCTTTAACGGGCCTTTTAAGGACAGGGAATGCTCTTGACTCACCACTATTTGGTAAAGCAGGAAAGCATTTAGCATGGCCAAAAGGTAACCGAGTATTACAGAAGACACAAGCTGCATGATGATGGGGGTTTACAAGCGCATCCACATCCAAAGGGAACGACTACCCCTTTGTCAACAGAAAGCCACGTTCCTCCTTTGCCTGAAGGATGGAATAAAAGTGCAAGGCTGGAACACCGTGGCCAGGTGTTTGGCAAGGTCTCCTCGAAGCCCTGCCAACGAACCTCCGGTTGGACTGAGGTCTGCACACGCAGATTCGGCTGAGTGGAGCCTGAGGACCACGCGGTACTTGCAGGACATGGACACGTGCCCATTAGGAGAGCGGGATGAAAAACAAAACGCCTTTTTCTTACAAGGCAGGACTTGATCCCCAAGTCTCGATGGCTGAAAGAGCGCTGCATCGCATTTAAAACAACACAGTAAAAGAACTGCTTTCACCAGTGAATAATTCTATTGTGTCTCTCAAAATGCAATTAAGTGCAAAGGAGCACCACCAACTCCAATAACAGACTGCTGTCTTAAATGGTTTTATGCAGTGATGCTACCCCTTAATGCTTACGGCGACCTGAGCTGGAAGAGATTCCAGAGGAAAACCCCTCTTTGTTGACTTTGCCTGTCTCGCTCCTCTTTGTGCTTTGGCCTGAGCTCAGGTGGGATCCTATTGCTCCGGTGCCTTCGGTGGGATCCTACAGCTCTGAGACCCCTGGCTTGGCTCTGGTGAAAGGGGAGCTCCTCCAGCTGCTGATGCAGCCCTCTGAAGCCGAGATGCTTACAATTTGGTAGGCTGCTTTTCCTTCCTTCCTCTTCCCCGCTTTCTTCCCCCTCTCTGGAATTTGAGCAGATCCCTCCTTTTGAAGACCATCATTTCTCCAGCACGTTTGCTCATTCCACTGATTAACCCCCAGGAATATCCATGGAAAGAAGAAAAGAGATTCAAAGGAAACAAGTGACTGTGACACGCAGCTTGGGTTTTGCCAGACACAGCTGCAAGTCGAGGAGGGTGGCAGTTGCTAGATTTTATCCATCCCTGTTATGAAAACCTATAATCACTCTAATACACTCAATACATCTCAATAGCTCGTCAGCTTCACATTGCTCCACTGGGGCTTTGGCCAACGGCCAGAAGGTTAATGGTGCAAGTTCACTGGGAGACAGCAGCTCCTCTCCTTCCTGGGGAGAGGCTGGTGTTGGGCTGGAAATCGTTAAATGGGGCTTTCAGTTCCCGGATCTGATACCGATTTCACAAATAGACTCCGTAAACACGCCCTCTCTGCCTCTATTTTACTCATCACCAAAGATGAAATAACACCACTCGTTTGCTTGTTGCATGGGGCTGATCGAAAAGTCTTAGAAAACGTTTGGGAAGGCTCTGGGTTAACAGTAAGCATGAGCTGAAGATCCAGAAACTTCCAAAGTGCCTTTTCTTTGCAGAGAAAGGTGACGTGCAGCTCCCATCGGACGCACGCGCCCAGGTTACACGGTTAGTTCCTAAATTGCTTTTCGTCTGCAGCTAGGAGGGTATTTACCGAAATTTAATGCTATGCATGACTCCAGCTGTTATGAATAAGGCATGTAAGAACTATGGCAGAATAAAGTGCAGGATTCATGAGTAATACATTACCTCTGCAACATTTCCCAGACCTTGGCTTTGGGCTTGTTGAAAAATACTTGCAGTCGCTTGTTCTGTCAGCATCAATTGCATGCTAAGGCAGATGCAAAAGCGCAGGCTTTCTTTTCTTTTCTTTTTTTTTAAACACAGCAGAGAATGACAGTAATGATTTCTACATCAAGGAGCTCGGCAAAATGATTTGCTTTGAAACTGCGCCGCGGCAGCGTTTATCAGCAGAGATTTTCTATTTTTAATGGAAGATTTCTTTTCGTGAAAAATTAATAGCGCTGCCAGCTCAGCTATGGGAGCCGTCGGCTGCTCTCGTGTCAGCGCAGGCCGGCACTAAGTCACCAGCTCTCCCGTAACGGCAAGCGGGGTGTGCGTGTGTGTGTGCGCGTGTGTGTAATATATATGTATGTATGCATAGAGACAACAACTCCGACCCTGCAAACGCCTGCCCAGCACGACCAATGCACCCGTACCGCTGCTGTAACAGGGACGATGCAAGGCTGCGCGCGGGCACGAGTCACGCCGGGTGTCGGGGCAGTCCTGTCCTCGCGGGCGGGCGAGGTGCGGAGAGCTGCGGGTGCAAGCACATCCTGGGAGTCGGTACCCTCGGGGTACTCCTCATGACACCCTCTGCCCTCGCACCACACACGGAAAAGGACAACGCACAACACCCCACGGCGAATAAACACCGGCGTGACCCGAAACCTGGGACGAAGCATGGGAAAACGCAAAAGCGTGGGAAAACGCAAGAAGAAAACGTTAAAAGCTCCCAGATCTGGGCTTCATCTATATTCTCCTATCACTCAAAATGAAAGATTTAAAAAGGGGGTAAATGACTCTAGGTTTCTACTGCTGGTCTAAAAAGACAGGCAAAAATAGCAGTAAGGATCAGGCCCAGTTACTTCTGAACCTACTGAAATCCAAATTCCCTGATTTACATCCACATCTTGCTTCCTTCCAGCTAATCTCATGAAACCAGTCCAGCAGGCAGACATTTGACACCGCGCCAGTGAATCCGGTCTTCCAAGAGACTTGTGCTCATATTTTATTCAGCTCTGCAGAGCACAGTTTTATAACTTCGGCAGAGAGAATAATTTCTGTGCTAACAAACACTACTGCCTCCTCTCCTTTTAGGAGGACGTCCAGCGCGGCAGACTGTAAAAGAGCCCAAGCGCCCAGGTCACAACGTGCTCCTTTTGCAGAATCACCTGATCACGGAAATTGACTGATTTTTTTTTTTTTTAAACAAAATTTCCCTCCGATATTAGAATTGTGAATTACCTTAGGAGGAACAACACGTTCTCAAGCGCGCAGTATTATTGCCTACAGAATTAAATGCTGGTCCATCTTTCCTAAGCTAACCAGACAGCAAAGACCATAGCCAAGAAAAACCTTTCCAGCTCTCGGGTCACGGTTCTTTGGGGAGAGACGAGCTGTAGTATATCTAATCAAAAATCATACCCTGCCAAGGCGTAACTCAGGGCACAGAAGTAGCCTGTTACCAATTCCAGCTGTTTTAGGAAACTCCAGACACACTTTCTCGTTAGTGGGGCAAGAAACTTAAACCGTCCCAGTTTTTGGCTGGTTTCTTCACTCACCAATCATCTTATCCACACTGACCCACTCATACAATAACCACTGCTGGCCATTCAGTATACTGCGGTAATGCCTAAGGACTTCCATCATAAACAGAAATCCATCGTTCTGGGTACTAAACATGAGTTTTCCGGGCTAAGAAGGGCTACATATGGTTACCTCATCTAGCTCTTCCATCATAAAGACACAGAGTCAACCCATCAGATGGACACCAAGCCCAAACATCCATGGTTTCTCTGAGGCAGGTCTCTCAGAAGGACATCCAACTACGATTTAACACCTTAACCAAGGTGCTATAGCTGCCAAGTAGAAGTGCTGGACAGACAGACTAGTGTTGCTTTGCAGGAGACAAAACT